CTTTTAAACAACCAGATCTTGTGAGAACTCACTCACTGTCATGGGAACAGCAAGGGGGAATTCCGCTCCCATGATCCAATCACCTCCCGCCAGGCCCCTCCTCCGGCACTGAGGATTACAATTCCACATGAGATTTAGGTGGGGACACAGATCCAAACCATATCGGTGATCTTGGGCAAGTTACTCAATGCCTCTAAGCCCAATTTCCTTACTAGTCAGTAACATTAATACTAATACTGCTATTAATCATAATATTACCAGCAGCCTCATGGGATTTCTGTGGATTAAGTGAGAGAAAGCACATACCAGTCTCAGCACAATGCCTTGCGTGTAATAAGCACCCAGTAAATATTGCCTGCTAGTGTTCATGATATAAGAGTGTTCTTGTAATGCTACTCTAATGTCGTTACTTTAAGCTAAAAAGAAGTTGGAAACCAAAATAATGTCTATAAAGTACTTAAAGAAGTACCTGGCATGTAGTAGGTTTGATAAATACAAGGGGGATAAGGAAGGGAAGGTTGATAGCATTTTACAGTTGTCATAAGCTTAGAGTACAATTGTAGTTACCACAGTCCTCATAAAATAATAATTACAGTAGTGATAGTACTTACCGAGTACCTGCTGTGTGCCAGGAATTATTCCAAATACTTTATATATCACAACTCATTGAATAGTTACAAAAACCACAAGAAGGAGGTAGTGCTGTTACCTCCATTGTACAAATAAAGACACTGAGGCACAGAAAGATTAAATAATTTGACCAAGGTCACACATTTAGCAAGTAGGGTTTAAAAACAGGATTTTGTACCCAGGTAGCAGGGGTAAGGGTTTTGAATTTGGAGAATTAGGCATAGGCCGGATTAAAAGGGCCCCACCATTAAGGATGGGAGGCTGTTAAAAAGTATTGAACAGAGGCATGACGTGGTCTCATATATATTTTTCAAGGATCACTGTTTCGCTGTTAACCAGATCTAGAAAAGTAGAACAGATTACGCACCAAACATATGGACCAGTCAAAGGCCCAGAAAGACACAACTTTGTCTGTATGGTTTGTTCTATGGCTCCAGCATGACTTCCATGTTGCACAACTCTAGGGGACACTTTCTCATGGTGGGCTTATGGCACCTTTTGGAATCAAACAAAGTGGAAGTCCAAGGCAAGGGTTGGGGTCCAGAAACAGACTGAAGTTGCCGTGTAATGATGTATCGGTAGATTTCATCACAGCCCACTTTCCAAAGTGAGAAATGTAGACTCCTCTCACCAATCCAAGACTCCTGGAGGTTTTTAACTCATTGGCCAAGCATGCCAGTTACCAAAGAGACAGGCCACTGGTGAATTTCATTTAACTTAGAAAAATGACAGGGTTTTAGTGAATGCCGCCAACCCACGGAAGGACATTTGATGAGTATGCTAAGCTTGTGCTCCTTTCCCTCTTTTGTATGACTGTCAAGAGCAACTGTGATCCGGTTGACAATATAATATCGTTCAGGTCATCAGTTCTCTCCCAGAACCATCACATCCTTTCTTCAAAATCTTGGGGCAAGTTAAATTAATAACAAGGAAGCCGCCATGCTTTTAAACCATAGCATGTCATTAAGCTGTAAGAGCAATTTAAGTGAAAGCATTTTTGTGTTAAATTCAGAACCTGCCTCATTTTTACAGTTATATGACTTGTTCTTTCCTGAGGCTTCAGAAATAAACTTTTTAGGAGAATTTAATGCTGGCTATGAAAGAAGCAAGTATTCTGGAGAATAAACAAACTTCAGAGTCATATTGCTGAGACAGTTTTCCAGGCCATTCTTTTCTGGCATCTCAGAGATTAAACTATTTTGGGACAGATGGCTGTCTCTTCCGGAAAATTTCCGGTCTAATTCACGATGTATGGCAGCCCAGTCCGTTTCTCTAAAAAGTCATCCTGAAAGTTAAGGAATGTCTCTCTCTATTAAACTCACATCTCTAAGCCTTTAATTTAAGCCAATTTCCTTTTATTTGGTCTTCTCTGGACACGGAGAAGAGCTGGTCTGCTTCTTCCACATAGGAGGGGCTTTATGAAATTACTCCTTACTCACCTTTTCTTCCGGCTAAACAATTCCACTTCCTTTAACCTTTCCTCACAGGATTTATTCTCCATCTTTTTAATCATTTCGATTGGTCTTTTTCTGGGCTGTCTCCAGAGGGTCTTTGTTAATACTTCTCATATAATTTTAAGAAGTTATTTTCTCTGAGAAAATCGGAAACCTGCTCTCACATTTGATGCATTCAGTTCTGACTTTGGTAGTCCTATCAAGAGAGTTCATGTCACGAGGTGGAGGTGATTTTTCAGCATCTTCAGTTGTCTTCATTTGAGTGACTCACATTTGGACAAAGTAATCAATCCACTTTTCCTAATTTTTCTGGCATGTCTTGCCTTTCCTTTGCTGTAAATAAAGAAGGAATAGCAGAAAGAATGGGAAGGCAGGCAGATTCTACCTAGAGACACTATGAGTTTTTATGAGAAGGTAAAGTCACTCACAGAGAATTGAAGTAATACAAGAGTCATAGGCTGCTTTGGCTTTTAGGCTGATCGTGAATCCGTCCTGGTTCTATGTAAAAGGCAGAAAAAATTCTGTGGTTTACTATCATTTTACATAAGCTGTGGAATTGGAGGGGAGGTAGAATGATAGGTGAATTCATATACTTAAATGATTTTTGCATGGCTAATATCACTACCTCAATTCTTCGCTTTCTCATGCAAAGAGAGGGCAGACTATTTGGAAGCAGGTCATTTTCAGTGTCATTCTCTGAGGCTGCTTGAGAAATAGTGGGGGTTAGTTCCAGGTTTCAGGATGACCACCTAGAATTTGCCAAAACCCAGATAGCGATTTCCCTTTTTTATTTTCCACATTACTGTTAACTGCCTTCTGGTTCCCCGAAGCCTAGACAGTCACTCAGTGCACGGAGAGCATCTTTCTAGCACCATTGGGCCATTTCTCCCGCAGAAAGCAGTCTTATTTGGCACCGGAGGATCCAGATGGGCCAGAAACAGTTCATTCAGCTTTTCTCTTCTATTTTCTTCTCCTATTAGTATTTTTGGTGGCTGCATATTTCAAATTACAGTTTTTTGTTTTTGTTTTTGTTTTTCGGTGACAAGAATAACTTTGTGGCCTGTTGAGGACAAGTCTCTGTCACTCAGTCGCTGTTCCATTCCTCATATGTAATAGAATTACCTTTTTTATTTTTTAAAAAAAATGTTATTATTTTTTTGAGACAGAGTCTGATTCCATCACCCAGGCTAGAGTGCAGTGGCACGATCTCGGCTCACTGCAGCCTCCACCTCCCAGGTTCAAGCAATTCTTGTGCCTCAGCCTCCCGAGTAGCTGGAATTACAGGCGTGCACCATTATGCCTGGCTAATTTTTGTATTTTTAGTAGAGACAGGGTTTCACCATGTTGGCCAGGCTGGTCTTGAACTCCTGACCTCAAGTGATCCATCCACC